CAGGGTTTCACCATGTTGGCCAGGCTGGTCTTGAACTCCTGACCCCAGGTGATCCACCCACCTTGGCCTCCCAAAGTGTTGGGATTATAGGTGTGAGCCACCACGCCGGGTCTATACTACTCATATTTTTAAGTAATTGCTACACACTTGTATACTCTCTACCCCCATTAACTTTTTAAATTTTTATTATTTATTTTTGCCACTGAGTCACACTCTGTCACCCAGGCTGGAGTGCAGTGGCACCATCTCAGCTCACTGCAACCTCCACCTCCTGGGTTCAAGCAATTCTCCTGCCTCCGCCTCCTGAGTAGCTAGGATTACAGGCATGTACCACCATACCCGGCTAACTTGTATTTTTAGTAGAGACGGGTTTTCACCATATTGGCCAGACTGGTCGTGAACTCCTGGGCCTCAAGTGATCTACCCACCTTGCCTAAGCCTCCCAAAGTGCTAGGACTACAGGTGTGAGCCACTGCAACCAGCCTTCTCCCATTTACTTTAAAATCTCCCCCTCTATTTATTTTTCTGTTATAATTGATAGTTTTTCACTGCTTTGCATTGGTAGTGCAGACAGACTCAGCCTATGAGCAGGGCTTTTATGATGGGACTTTTTGTGCCCAGGTAGAGAATTAGGCTGGCAAACCATGAGGTGGAACAGTGCTTCTCTGAATGTAGGCAGTAGACCACCATCACCTGGAAACTTGGCCCAGACCTGAATCAGAATCCCTGGAGTCTGGGCCCAGGAAGTGATTTAACAAACTCTCCAAGGGATTCTTAGAACTTTCCACTTTTAAGAGGTGGGTCTTGCTATATTGCCTAGGCAACACCCTTGAACTCCTGGCCTCAAGTGATCCTCCTACCTCAGCTCCCTAGTAGCTAGGATTACAGGCAAGCTGTTTCAATTTTTAGTCTGTTCATTCCAAACAGAATCAAAGTCTCCAGAGACACAGGGTAGTTCTGAATAGCTGGTTTTTAAGGCAAAATTTACCTACTTCTCTCTTTGAAAAGTACATTAATTCAAAGAACTATGGTTTGCAGAATGTCCTATGGCTTGACGCAAAGGCAGAATGATTCCAGCCCATTTGTTACCTCTGGGAATGAGAATCCATGCTTTCCAAAGCATACTCATTCTTTAATAATTGAGATGTTATCACCGGCCATGTGCGGTGGCTTATGCCTATAATCCCAGCACTTTGGGAGGCTGAGGCAGATGGATCACTTGAGGCCAGGAGTTCAAGACCGGTCTGGTCAACATGGCAAAACCCCATCTCTACTAAAAATACAAAAGTTAGCTAGGCATGGTGATGGGTGCCTGTAATCCCAGCTACTCAGGAGGCTGAGGCAGGAGAATCGCTTGAACCTGGGAGCCAGAGGTTGCAGTGAGCCTAGATTGCACCATTGCATTCCAGCATGGGTGACAGAGAGAGAGACTCTGGTTTTTTTTTGTTTTGTTTTTATTTTTTTGAGACACTCGCAGCTGCTTGTTGCTTCCCCGGCTACTAGAGCAATACACAGGGAAAGTCCGAGTACTCAGCTTTACTCTCTCCAGCTAAATGCTAGGAAGGAGGTTGAAAACACTGGCCAAAGTTTTATTTGTAGGTTACTGATGTTTTCTTTTCTCTGCACCGACCTTGTTTCTGCTAACATGTAAATTTGTTTCAATCATCTTGGAGTAGCACTTACCATTTGATAGCACCAGGATTATATCCCCTTCCTGAAACTCCAGGTCCTCTGGTTGGGTAGCCTCATAACTGAAGAGTGCTACCACTTGGCTGCCTTTCTTAAGCTGAGGTTCTGTGGTCTGGTTATTAGCATCAGCTTTTTCACTTTCCTTGGGTTCGTCTGGAAAGCCTTGGTCACCCTGAAATAATAAAGGGGCTGTTAATTTCCCAATTTCCTGCCCGGCCCATTTTCTTTCTCCTAGTGAGTGAGAACCTGCCTTGCTGCCTCCAAGGCTAATGCATAGTGATAAAGAACATTCCACAGTGACTCCTGAGCCTGGATTACGTTGCAAAAACATTGTTGGGAGTTTTAAGAGGGTTGGCTATGTGTAGCCACCAAATAGATTGAAGCTCCTGTCAAAGGAAAAAATTTTAATTAAAAAAAAGTTGAAGTAGTACACATTTAGAGCAGAACTCATTCTAGGAAGAATCTTTTTAAAAAGATGCTGAAGGGGTTATTCCAAAGACGGTTGGAAAACCTAAAGTGACCTTTCAGATTTCCAAGAGACCCCCGACACTCACTCACACTCACTCTTACCCCCGGGCACTGGGGCCTTTTGTCTCAGCCCCAGAGGCTGTTTATACACTGCCCTTCTCTAGGTTCGTTATTTTTCACTCTTCCTCTCCCACTTTTCTTTTCCAGCAAACATTTGTCTCTGACTTGAGTGAGAATCTACCAAAAACCCCCTTCCTTTAAACGCCTCTGCCCAGCTGTGAGGATGAGGTTTGCAGGAGGAGCCAGGAAGGAGTCGGCCTCTACCGTGGCTCCAGGCCAGGATGAGCCAGAATAGCTTTCCTGCTTGCTCATTTCTGCATCTCCAAATCCACTTGTAGGCAGAAAACAGCAGCTCTCCCAAGGATTCACATATGAACTGTTTCGTATGATACGCCCTCCACCCTACACCAATGGAACTGCAAATGCCACAACCTAAAAATGCAAAGTCAGAAAAACAGGTGAATGGAGGGAGAGCTGAAACTTCTGAAATAGCCCTAATTAACAGCTTTGGTCAGTGGAGACTGGCCTCATTAATGCTGTATGTGGGGTTGTCTCCAGCCTCAGGACTGGATGGGAGCTGATTCATCAGGAAGATCTGGCTATCCTAGCTCAGCCCCCCGCCTTGCTCATATGCCTCATAACCATTCTTTCAAACAAGACGTGGCTCTCCTCCCTGCTCACAGCAGCATCCTAGTGTTCAAGGCCTTCCATGATATGTTGCCTTTCCAGCCTGTCTCCCTCCACCCTCCCCATTGCAGCCAGGAACACTGAGCCCCTTTACTCACTATGTTGACTTTTATGGTGTTCCCTTTCCATCTGTATAATGCATCCTTTCCTCCTCCACCTCATTACTTTCTTATTGTTTTACGGTGAAACATCACAATGATCTCAGCAGCATTTTCTTCAGGAAGACAGCTCCTACCTGTTCCACTTCCCTCTGGCAGTTCTGGGTGAAATAGTTTACCACATGCTTCCGTAACACAGTATGCCATTTCTGAACCTCCAGCAGTTTACAAAACATGAGGCTTCCCATGCCTGCCTATCTGCAAAGCCCTAGGTGCTCAGCAAGTGTTTGCTGAAAAATGTCACCAGCAGACAACCCAAATGTCCACAAGCAGGTGGAGTATCCATACAATGGAATACCATTTAGCAATCAAAAGGGTGAGACTAGTGAAACAAAAAGACTACATACACTGTACAATCCACTTACATGAAATTCTATAAAAGGCAAAACTATATTTAGAGAAAGAAGATGGGTGGTTTTCGGGGTCTGCGGTTGGCAGAGGGAATTAACATCAGCAACAAAAAGAAATGGCAACTTTTCCTCTGGAGGCCAATGGACAGAGTTCAAGAGTCTTACCTTGTTGCTACCATGAATGCTTCTAGCCTCTAACTTTTCAACTGACTCCCACTGTTCTTACTTGAAAGTCAGACTTCAGGCTAGTAAGACCTCAGGTTCATCAGAGGGCCTGCCCTGGTACCAGCAGTACAGCGGGGTAGATAGGAATAGAGGCAGGCTCTGGAGTCTAAATGCCTGCCTGCGTTCAGCTCCGCTACTAACCAGCTATTCAGTCTTGGTCAAGCTGCTTGACCTCTCTTTGCCTTGTTTCCTAAATTATACAATGGGAAAATAATGTCTACTTCACAGAGTTGTGAAGATTGTAAGAACTAACACAGAATGCACTTTGCACAGTATCTCACATGGGAAGTTCTCATAGATACTTGCTGTTAATAGTTTGTTACCCAAATCATCTCTTTGTGAAATGCTATTCTCTTTCACCCTCATGTGAAAGTGTTCCTCCTCATGTTAACTTGAGAAGGTTGGCCAGGTGCAATGGCTCATGCGTATAATCCCAACACCTTGGAGGCTGAGGTGGAAGGATTGCTTGAGCCCAGGAGTTTGAGACCAGCCCAGGCAATATAGTGAGACTATATATACTGTAAACAAAAAATTTAAAAAAGTAGCCATGTGTGGTGGCACACATCTGTAGTTCCAGCTACTTGGGAGGCTGAGATGGGAGGATTGCTTGAGCCCGTGAGGTGAAGGTTGTAGTGAGATTGTGCCACTGCACTCCAGCCTGGGTGACAGAGCAAGATGAAAGAGACACAGAGAGAAAGAAAGACAGAGAGGGGGGGAAAGAGAGAAAGAAAGAAAAAAAGAGAAGAAAGGAGAGGAAGAGGGAGGGAAGGAAAAGAAAAGAAACAGCTTAAGAGGGTGAAGAATGGCTCTGAGCTCAGCCTTACGCTATGATGTCATTCCAACCTTGCTCGACAGTGATGGACGGGATGTTTGACAGTCAGGCAGGGAGCCGATGGAGGCGCAGGACGCTTTCTGTGGGCTCTTGCCCTGCGGGGCCTGCTCTTCTCTTGTGGGAAACTCCCTGCTGCAACTGGAGTGAGGATGCAGGTAGCGGGGAGGCAGAGCTGTGACTTGTTACCCACTATATCCCCAACACCATGCACAGTGCCCAGTACGCAGAAGGTGCCTGGTAAATGTCAAATTGTTGAGGAAGTGGACCCGTGGAAACATAAGCTTAGGTGCCCTCGCTGCACTCACCACTGTGTTCTCACACCACAGGGTCAGGCAGTAGTTTTTCACCTGGCCCCAGGCATCCTTCATGCTCTCTTCTGAAAGGGGCACCAGCTCGTTGCTGTCCCGAGGCCGATAGCTGGGTGGGGGTAATGAGTAAGAATAAGCCAGAGAACATGATCACAAACACCACCCTCCTCTTCCGTCCTCCGGGCCAGCACAAGGTCCCCGCGGTACTCCTCACAGCTGCCCGCATGGAGCTCACCTCAGCTTAGTGTGTTCCAGCCGGAGCTCCAGTTTCTTAGACACCATGTCCCGGACCTCGCTGTAGGGGAGCCCGGGCCGAGTCTCCATGACTACCGTGTACTTGTAGTGTACTTTGAGTGTGTAGGGCATGGGAACACTGAGCTTCACTTCCTGAGTGGGGAGGAAGCAGAGAGAACTCCTGAGTGTCTGAGGCTTTCTCTCAACATCCCACGTCACCGCAGCTTTGTGATTTGGCATGGGGGTACCCCATGCAGCAGGGGAGAGGCCAACAAGTAACCGGTTTCATTGTAGCCTAAAAGGCCTTCAGAGGTCCTTTGGCCCGACCTGTGCTTGGACAGGAATTCCTCCTCAGCAGGATCTGGCCCACCAGCTTGGGAAGTAGGAAATGTGTGCATGATAGTCGGGGAGGCTGTTAAGAGGTCCCCAGCCCATGGACTCTGTAAGGTAGCAACTGGTTCGACCCTTCCACTGGGGCTCTTTCTACAATCTGGACAGGCATGTCTGTGGTTGATAGCCTAATCTCTCTCATCTTCTCCCACTTGAAACAGTACAAGGGAAAAATGTTACCTTAGGCTCTTCTTTTTGTTTCTGACCTAAATGGAAAAAGCAGGGAGTAAAACAAAAGATGATGATGAATGAACACGCTTGGCCAGCCCCTGCCACACGCAGATGAAACCTCTTCGAACAGGGCCCCCAACCTCTTACCCTTTAATCTGTGGGGGAATTATTAACCTTAGTAAACTGTGGGGAGAATCTAACCCTGGGGAAGCATGAAGGTCACGAACACATAAACAAACTCAGTCTCAGCTTCCAGGGAGCCTGTAGGTAATTATCAAAGGACCAGCATATCCTCACCAACCCGCGAGGTTAGTGGGATCTCAAAAGTCAGTTAAACCCGCAGGATCCAAGGCAATGAAAATCAGGAGTGCAAGGTGAGCCAGAGGCCACCGGAAGAACTACTAGAGCCACTTACCCTCACCTTATTCTTTATTTGTGTATGTTTCCTACAGTGCATCATATATTAATGTAATATAATTTATGTAAGAGAAGCATGCATAAAGATATTTACTATTGATCTCAAACCTAGCTGATCATTAGAATCACGTGGGAAGTTTTTTTCTAAAACACAAATTCCCAAGCCCCCTTCCAGTCCTAAATAATCAAGAGCCAGTAGCCTAGGACCCCATATTCACAAAATCATCCTGAGTTTACATGCGATCCTTGATGAGCCTCTAGACAAAAGATAACAAAAAAGCTGTCAAGGACGTTGAGCAGGAGCAATGGGAGCAATTTGAATATGGAATATACATTATATAACGTTATATGAATGTGAAGTATACTGGATACCTGTGTTTTTGCAGATACGTAGGGTGAAGTGGCACAAGTCTGTAACTTATTTTCAACTGGCTCGAGGGAAAAATAGACTGTAGCAGGGCCAACTCATGGTGCAAAATGTTAACAATTGGTGAGTTCAGTGAAAGATATTCTGATGTGTATTGTATTCTACTGTCAACTTTTCCGTAGGTCTGATGGTTTTCAAAATAAAAATGGGGGAAGGGACATCGCAGGAGATTCTGATGATCAGGCACGTGCGGCGATCATGGATGTAGGATATGGTACTCTGTGCACCCCTACCAAGCACTTATCCAGAATCTGCTTCAAGTGCATGAATGATAAGAAGCCCATCACTTCCCACGACAGCCCTCTCCACACCAGGAGACAGCCATTCGGAGAGAACGTTTCTGTTTCACATCTGCCCATTGGTTCTCTGTTCAGCCTCAGGGCTCCACAGAACAGTTTCTTTTCCAGATACAGTGCCTCAGTCATTTGAAAACAGCCACTCTATACCCCTCTGAGGTAAACATGTACAGCTACTTCAACTTTTCTTCCTGAGACATGGTTTCAGTACCTAACGATCAAGGGGTGTGGTGACTAGGTGAGTCACTCAGAGACCAGCTACATTCACCCAAGCCTGGTGAGTGCTTTGCAGGAGGCAGGGAGAGAGGGCATTGATTTCATGTTTGGGGTGGGTGGGCAGTGCAGGAAAGGAGGGTTCTGGGCTGTGTGGTCATTAGCTGAGTGACATGTTGGGAAAAGAAGAAAGCAGAACTTCCTGGAAGGCGGGGAGAGGAACTCAGGAAGCAGCCTGGCATGCCCCTGCACCCAGACCAAGGCTGTTGCTCCAGGACCACTCACCTGGTGACAACTGGGGTCTTCCAGGGGCTTTGGAACTAGGAGGAGCTGGGATGTCAGACTCTGGAGAGCTTTCCTCCTGAAAGCAACAGGGAGTGATGATCAGACAAAGTTCCCAGGCAGGGGAGGATGTGGGAAGATCCCCCTACAGAGACTCCATGAAAAGGAGCCAGATGGAAATAACTTCCTAAAAGTTGGAATGGCACTGACATTTGAGAAAGACGAAGGAAAATGTTGGCCAAAAGAGGCGGCGGGGTTGGCCCGATGAAAATGAAAACCACAGTGGAGAGAAGAATCCTGACCCGCTAAAACGCTCTTGCTGCTTGAGCATCTCTTTCAGCCATATTGGAAATCCACTGGACATGGGGTAGGACTGAGCTCTTGTCTCCACTGCAGAGGGCATAGAGAAAGGCATCTGAAACTTTTCACAACATCTGGATATAGTGACTCTGACCAAGGAGGGCGGAGCTCATATATAACTGGTCGCACAGTCTGGAGAGAGACAGGCTCCACTGCCATGGAATCACTTACAGGGCTGCTCAGATCCAACAAAGACAGCCCTCTAGGCCTGGCAGGACAGACTTTGGAAGTGTGAGGAGGGGATTCAGTTTAGAAGCAGTGGCTGGCAAGGCCCACTCTGATTCAAAGCCCTAAAGCAGATCTCATTTTATTATTTTTATTTGTATAGAGGTGGCATCTCTCTGTTTTGCTCAGGCTGGTCTCAGACTCCTGAGCTCAAGTGATCCTCACCGCAGCCTCCCAAAGTGCTAGGATTACAGGCGTAAGCAACTGTGCCCGGACTCACTGTATTTCTAATGGCATTGTGCCAGCCAACACATTGATATTCTTCCAAGTGAAGCAGACACACCTGGGAAGACCTAACCCTCATATACTGTAGGCTTTGCTTCCCAAGTCACTTCTGACCAGGAAGAGTCGCAAAGGTGGGTGGGCCCAATGGGACCTATGGATGCCTTCAACTTAGCACATCTGGGCTTTTTTCCCTCATTCCCAGGTTCAGCTGTGGGCAGCTGGTGCCATCTCAAGCCAGGCTCAAGACGAGTGAGTCTTTCTCCAGGGGTCCGGACAGCACTTCTTTACACTGCTTCTCCCCTCCAGGGAGAGATCTCTAAATGGTGAGAGGAAATGGGTCAGGCCTTGGCATGGCATTACCTGGGGCTGCTGCTGAGGGTGGATCCGCAGCTCAACTGGTTCAAGGTAGTTGCAGGGAACAAGCCCCTTCTGCAGCGCAGCGTCACAGAATCAGAAAGGGAAAAGAAAGATGTGCTCATCAGTCCCCATACCACACAACAGCCCAGAGTCCTGGGGAAGGATGGCGAGCAGACACAAGAGTTCGGCTGGTCTGCACAGAAGGCAGCAGATGCTGCTCTGCAGAAAGACTGCATTTGCTGCCGGGACCCCATGCCCGTCACACCGCTCCCAGTCCTCTGCATACCTGCCCGTTGAACATGACTGTGGCCCAGTTGTCATTGCCCTTCTTCAAGACAAAGACAATGTTCCCTGGCATGACCTGGAGCTCTTCTTTTGTCTCAGGCACAAACCCGAACAGCACACGGTGAGCCTCCCCTTCCAGAGCCCTGCGGGGGTAGACACAAGATCCAGCCCACATGCCCTCACACAAGCACAGTGAACTTGGAGCCGGGGACTTGGCTCCAGCCTGGGTCTACTCCACACCTAACTGCAACTGCCCAGGTGACGCTGAGCCTGCCTGGGCTCCCACGAGGTCTTGGTAAGAAACTGGTATACACGTGCATATAACCATACATGCAGAGGGACAAGAATAAAAGCAAAAAGCCCATAATACCAGACAGTGAGGCCTTACAATCCTCGTCTTCCATTCCCTTCTGAGGAGGAAGGTCCCTGGCTGGGTCATCTTGTCCAGCTCCTGAGGGTGGGCTGGGGTGGATCAGGTGACTGTGGTCAGGGGAACAGTACAAGGTGGAAGTCAAGTGAGAGCCATCTGGGCGAGAAAGACAGGTGGGAGAAGAGGGAGGAGAACCACCTAGAGCCAGCGTTGGGCCAGGGAAAGGAGACTGTGAGGAGGGGAGGTGACGGGCAGCGTGCGGGATGCTCCTGGAGGGCTCTGAGGCTGCCCAGCTGCAGTGGTGCAGTGTCGGTTCCCTCAGGGCTGACCACGCTTTTAGGCTCTGGGGCTCTAATTGGCGTCACTTTGGAAGGTGTGACTGAGAGCTGGCGTTCGGGTTTCAGGCCTCCCCTCCTTTACTCCCTGCTCCGTTACTTCCTCCTCAGCCCTTCCTTGTTTCCAGACAGCGTGTCTATTCCTGTAGGAAATACAGGCCCTTCCAGCTGACAGGGAGTTTAGGAACGAGCTCATCCACCACCCTCATTTTTGTAGTTGCTTTGGTACTTTTGTCACTTTTTATTTATTTTTATTTTTTGAGACAGAGCATTACTCTGTTGCCCAGGCTGGAGTGCAGTGGCGCGATGTCGGCTCACTACAACCTCTACTTCCCCAGTTCAAGTAATTCTCCTGCCTCAGCCTCCCGAGTAGCTGGGATCACAGGCACGCATCACCAGGTCCAGCTAATTTTTGTATTTTTAGTATAGATGGAATTTTGCCACGTTGGCCCGCCTGGTCTCGAACTCCTGACCTCAAGTGATCTGCCCACCTCCGTCTCCCAAAGTGCTGGGATTACAGGCATGAGACATGAGCTAGCGCGCCAGGCCAATCACTTTGTGAAACCTCCTTTTTGGGTGGGGGGACCAGGCGAGCTTCATTACTTAGAGGGAATTCTTAAGAAAGCTGTAGGTTATGTCACCCTTTGTTTTTCATCTTACAGAAGGACTTCCTTTTCTTGAGTCCTTCCCCGTTACTTCTTTGGAAAACACATGCAAATAGGGAGTAGAAAGTGCTCGCACAGGAAAAAGAACGCCATTCCAGCTTCCTGTCTCCAGAGAGCTCTCCTTGCCCCCATCAGTGAGGGCTGTGGCCGTGCGAAACTGAACTCCTACCTGAGGTCAGCGTCCTGGCCCCTAGGGTAGCTATGTTCCACAGGACACCACTCCCCTTCAGCAACAACCTCTTGCCACGTGGGTGGCTAAGCACGTGGACAGGGGCCACTGGGACACCATGTAGCTGCAGCCAGGTCCCGATGCCCCACCCCACCACAGCCAAGACTCCACCCTCACCATACCATTCTGTTCTAACCTTGATAACAGAAGAAGCCTGACATTCTAGAAAATTCCACAAGATTTACACCCTGACCTGAGTTTCATCTTCATCCCTCCCTTTCTTGCCATTAGTTCAGGCTTGGAGCCTGGATATTCTGCATATGGATTTAAATCTAACTTACCTGAAGATCTCTGGGGTTTTTGGTCTGGGTGGAGGCTCAGCTGCCTGTTGAACATTCAGGAGAAGTGAAAATGGAAAAGGCAATGAGGGAAAGCAGGGAGACAGAACAAATGGCTAATGGTAACTCAAGCGTTCTTCCAGACCAGAAAATCAAATAATGCATTATTGACTGATGGGACACTGTGTCGGAAAAGGGCACAGTCACCCTGACTGAACACTGGGAAATTACACCTCCCACCAGCTCCCCAGGTGTGGGTTTCACTAGCACGGCAATTCATTTAGAGCCAGAGCTAGTTTCTAGAGCTAGCTCTCACACAGCAATATGGTGTCACAAGAGTGCTTCGAGCTTGAGCTCTGTCCTTTTCCTAGGACAGCTGCCAAAAGCTCTGTTCTGTAATTAATGTCTACTACGTCACATGACACTTCTGAGTATTTTTTAATTAATTTTTTTTTTTTTTGAGATGGAATCTCGCTGTGTCGCCTAGGCTGAAGTGCAGTGGCGTGATCTCGGCTCACTGCAACCTCTGCCTCCCAGGTTCAAGTTATTCTCCTGCCACCACACCCTGCTAATATTTGTATTTTTAGTAGAGACGGGGGTTTCACCATGTTGGCCAGGCTGGTCTGGAACTCCTGGACTAGAGTGATCTGCTCACCTCAACCTCCCAAAATGGTGGGATTATAGGCGTGAGCCACTATTCCTGGCCACTTCTGAGTATTTAAAATTGACACAGGATCCACTGACTGGGCAAAGATCTCCTCCCCCGTTCTACACTGGATACCATGGAGTCCAGTGACCTGGGCTGTGTTCCCCTCATGGTCCTCTGAGATCACGGACTCTAGATCTGGAACACAGGCTCCCTGCTCAGAAAACCTGCCCTCTGCTGGTGCTGGCCAGTGCTCTTCCCATGACGGTTTCATTGCCACAGAGCTTTCTTCTTCCTCTACATGCTCCCCTTCTCTTCACAAGGAAGCAATGTCTGCATTTCTAGCTCCACTGTCATCCCGTTCATCTGAGCCCACCTCTCCAAGCCCAGTTTGGGCAGAAAAAAGGTTCACACTCCCTGTGTTCCCGAGAGAACCCCTGCACATGGGTGATGGGTAGAGCCAGGAGAGCCCAAACCTCAGGCCCAGGCCCCACAGGGTTCCTCACTTGCCCCTGTACCCAAGAAGAGGCTTTGTTAACAAGCCTTCCATAGCTCGTGTTTTAGCTGCCTGAAAGAATGGTTGAGGTTTCAGAGAGAGGATCTGCACATCTCTTTAGAGATGTGAAGACTGACATTTGGGGGGAAGCAGGAGAGTTGGCTTCAGAGGACTTGGGGTAAAGTCTGACATTGCCTCATTCCCTTACCAGCCATGGAACCTGGGACTGCGAGAGGGCAGGCAGATCCCTCAGCTGCACTGAGGGCCACTTGAAGAAGCCTTACAAGAAGGCAGCTCAGCACACATAGTCTCTCTCCCCAGTTGGATGCTCACAGAAAGCTCTCGAAAACTAGGCCCATGGAGAAGGTCAGGATTGCCTCACCTGTGGTTGCAGAGGAGCAAACCCAGAGAAACTGTCTTGATCCACCACAGACGCCACGACCTGAAATCAAGGACAGGCGGGTGTGAGGCTCTGCCAGTGCTGTTTCCATTCATCTAGGTGTCCCTCCTTGCTCACGCCTTGAGCCTGGTTTCAGACGTGGACAGTAACTAAGGATTAGATTCCTGATCCTCTGGATTAGGATTTCAGCAACTGAAGAAACAAGTATTCACCCAACCCCTGCTAACACAGGCTTGCTTTCTCTCTTAAAAAAATGTTTTTATTGAGGTGCAATTTGTATAACACCAAATGAACTTTTTTTTTGAGATGGAGCTCTGTTGCCAGGCTGAAGTGCAGTGGCACGATCTCAGCACACTGCAACCTCCACCTCTGGGTTCAAGCAATTCTCCTGTCTCAGCCTCCCAAGTAGCTGGAACTGCAGGTGTGCGCCACCACACTCGGCTAATTTTTGTATTTTTAGTAGAGGTGGGGTTTTGCCATGTTGGCCAGGCTGGTCTCAAACTTCTGACCTCAGGTGATCTACCCGCCTCACCCTCCCAAAGTGCTAGGGTTACAGGTGTGAGCCACTGTGCACGGCCCAAATTAGTCATTTTAAAGGGAATGATTCAGTGGCATTTATCACACTCACAGTGCTGTGCAACTACCGCCTTTATCTAATTCCAAAACATTTTCATCTCCCCAGAAGAAAATGCTGACCCATTAAGCAGTGAGTCCACATGCCCCTTCCCCCTAAATTGGCAACAACCACTTCACTCTCTGTGACTGACTTGAGCCCTCTTCTTCTCCTCGGAGTTTTAGAAATCAGATTTAAAGCTAGCTTTATTTACAAATATGCTTATAGATAATTTTCATCATTCATTCATATAATCAAAACATTTTTGCTGAGAGCTGTTATGTGTCTAGCTCTGTGCCAGGCTGTGAGGACTCAGTGGTGGTCAAGCAGATGTGGGCTCTGCCCTCTCAGTGCTGAGAGGTTGCACAAGACATTTCATATAAGCGGAATTGTGTAACAGGTGGCCTTTTGTGTCTGGCTTCCTTCACATAACTTCATGTTTTCAAGGCCCATCCATGATGTATCATGAATCCTACTCCATTCCTTTTTATGGCTGCATAGTATTCTGTTGCATGGATATATCACATTTTGATTATCCATTCATCAGTTGAATAGATATTTGGGGTGTTTCCATTAACCCAGCCTTTCTTGACCCCTGCTAGTATGCTAGACCCCAGCTACCCGACCACTGGGCAACTTTAGCCCTACGAATGTGTCAAAGTCAAATGTAGTTTTGGAAAGGCACTGTTGACTCACTTCAGATCATGTCTGAAAGAATTTACCTGGATTTATTATTATTATTATTGTTATTATTGAGACAGAGTTTCTCTCTTATTGCCCAGGCTGCAGCGCAGTGGCATGATCTCAGCTCACTGCAACCTTCACCTCCTGGGTCCAAGTGATTTTCCTGCCTCAGCCTCCCGAGTAGCTGGGATTACAGGCATGCGCCACAGCACCTGGCTAATTTTGTATTTTTAGTAAAGACGGGGTTTCACCATGTTGGCCAGCCTGGTCTTGAACTCCTGGCCTCAAGTGATCTGCCTGCCTTAGCCTCCCAAAGTGCTGGGATTACAGGCACGAGCCACCACACCTGGCCACGCCTGGATTTAGAAGAAGTTCAATTTAAGACATAGTCTAAACATAGGGCTACATGGAGAAAGATTCCTCAGCCCACTAAAACGTGAACTACAAGGCACATTAAGCCAAGAGGATCCTACGCTAATCTCTTTCCCTAACATGTTCTCTCCATATTTATTTTTATTTTTTAGAAACAGTCTCACTCTGTCACTCAGGCTAGAGTACAGTGGTGCAATCATAGCTCACTGTAACCTTGAATTAATCCTGGGTTCAAGCGATCCTCTAGCCTCAGCCTCTCTACTAGCTAGGCTGGTCTCAAACTCCTGGCCTCAAGTGATCCTCCCACTTCAGCCTCCCAAAGCACTGGGATTACAGGCATGAGCCACCCTGCCTGGTTCTCTCTTCATATTTAGTGAGCTCCTCATGGCTGTGTTTTCCCTCCATTGGCTCAGTCCCCAAGAATCAGCATTCTGTGAGTTACCCTTGGCTCCCACCTAGGGTCAAGCTGGAAGGGAGGAATGAGAGCAGCCTGGAGAAAATAAACCAGAAGTGGCTGCCTATCTTTCAGCCAAATCTCCTTCCTATAAACAAGTCTCTCATTGCCATCCCAGGAACAGAGCCACAAGGAGGGCCGGCCTCCTCTCAAGAGTCCTTCCCACCTTGCTCCACATGGCCCAGGCCACGGGAGACTCAGGAGAAGCCGAGCAATCCCACCTACCGTCGCCTTGCCTAGGTAATCCTTCTTGGCCAGCTGAGCCACTTGTCTCTCATTTGGTCGAAACAGCCTGCCCACAGGGATCACCACGGGCTCATACAGCTTCTGCTTCTGTAACACAGAAAATGTAGCATTTCCTTACCTGAAAATGGGGGTGACGATGCTTGTGCTGCCTCCCTCAGTGAATCGATGCAAGAATTCATTGAGATAACCACATAGAAGCATTTTTCCAAATACTGTCATTCCTCTAGGGTGTTAAGGTAGGGATCGTTGGTTTCAATATCACCTTCTGCTGAGAGGCCACGTAGACATTTTTGGTGCTGTTTGCCCAGCAACCTCTTTTCCCAGAGGAACTGCTCCTCTCCCACTCTGTGGTGTCTGTAGGGTTCTTGCACAGTGCAGATGGCACCACCACGACAAGGATGGCCCGGGATCAAGCAAGGCTCATGACAGTGCTCCCTTGGATGGGTGTTTGCTGACGAGGATAGGCATATAAAGACTGACTTGAGCCCTCTTCTCTGTGTTTTAAAGATCAGATTTAAAGCTAGCCTTATTCACAAATATGCTTGAACTATGAATAACTTTTATCGTTCATTCACATAAAACATTTTTTCGTCAGGTACACTGGCTCACATCTGTAATCCTAGCATCTTGGGAGGCCAAGGTGGACGGTTCACCAGAGGTCAGGAGTTCGAGACCAGCCTGGCCAACATGGCAAAACCCTATCTCTATCAAAAATACAAAAATTAGCCAGGCAGGGCCGGGCGCGGTGGCTCAAGCCTGTAATCCCAGCACTTTGGGAGGCCGAGGCGGGTGGATCACGAGGTCAAGAGATCGAGACCATCCTGGTCAACGTGGTGAAACCCCGTCTCTACTAAAAATACAAAAAATTAGCTGGGCATGGTGGCACGTGCCTGTAATCCCAGCTACTCAGGAGGCTGAGGCAGGAGAATTGCCTGAACCCAGGAGGCGGAGGTTGCAGTGAGCCGAGATCGCGCCATTGCACTCCAGCCTGGGTAACAAGAGCGAAACTCCGTCTCAAAAAAAAAAAAAAAAAAAAAAAAAAAAAAAAAAGCCAGGCATGGTGGCATGCGCCTGGAATCCCAGCTACTTGGGAGGCTGAGGCTGTAGAATTGCTGAACCCAGGAGGCAGAGGTTGCAGGGAGATCACACTACTGGACTCCAAGCTGGGCAACAGAGACTCCATCTCAAAACAAAACAAAACAAAACATTTTTGTTGAGAGCTGTTATGTGCCTAGCACTGTGCCAGGCTGTGAGGACTCGGTGGTGATCAAGCAGACATGGGCTCTGCCCTCTCAGTGCTGAGAGTCTGTGCAGACCACTCCAGCATCCCACATCCTGTTCCGCACTGCCGAGGGGTCCCACTCCGAGGGCGCTGTGAGGCACGAGCTCTGCCGTCCCATACTCTAGGCCCCAGCTTCTTAGCACAGATTCAAGAACTTACGTGGAACTATACCCTTAGATGAGTGCTACCCGGACTCACAGAAAGAAAGCACCACTCTGATGGTTTCTCAGTGGCACGTCCTCTGACACAAACGAGCATCCAGTGAACTCCTCTCACCACCTGCATCACCGATATGCTTACCCAGACACACTCCATGGCCTTGTCGATTTTGGAATGTCTGGGCTCAGACTTCATGCTGGTGGCCAATGCTAACTGTTCCTCAGCTTTTTTCCATTCCTCCTTCTTGGCATACATGAAAGCAATGTTATATAACACCTGGAAAAGCACAGACCACAACACAAAACTTGAGACTACTCCAAATCAAGGTGCCAGGGAAGGGCTCACACGTATACTCTGGGAATGCTGCCTGGTAACATTTCTCCCTTTCTCAGCATTCCCGGGAATACCTAAAATACAGTGCAATTAGTCTTGCTATCAAGTTACGTCAAACACAAACACGGTGTTAAGAAAACACCATTGAATGTATAAATGCAACATCATGCGTATTCTTCCCATAACCAAATAGGTCAGGAAGGGACAAGAACTATTATATACAGAGTGTTCAAACCAGGTTTAACAAAAGGAAAAAGAATTGGCCAGGTGCTGTGGCTCATGCTCCCAGCACTTTGGGAGGCTGAGACAGGCGGATTATGAGGTCAGGAGTTCTAGACCAGCCTGGCCAACATAGTGAAACCCAGTCTCTACTAAAAATACAAAAATTAGCCAGGCGTGGTGATGGACACCTGTAGTCCCAGCTATTCAGGAGACTGAGGTGGGAGAATTACTTGAACCTGGGAGGTGGAGGTTGCAGTGAGCCAAGACCACGCCACTGCACTCCAGCCTGGGTGACAAAGTGAGACTCCATCTCAAAAAAAAAAAAAAAAAGAATTGTTGTGCTGTTTTAGTATGAGTTGCTTTAGTGAAAGAGTGACTTGCTTAAGGCCCCTTCTAGAGGCAGAGAGTTGGGAATAAAATACACGTGTGTGGCCTTCCAGTCCAGCCCCTGCCACTGTACCTAGGCTGCAACACTGGACAGGTACAGGGTGGGAAGAGGGATCAAGATGCAACCTCCTGTACCAGCACCAGCAGAACCTGGCTCAGACCATATGAGTAACAAGACGAATACAGCAACACAGGCCAGGCGCTGTGGCTCACGCCTGTAACCTCAGCACTTTGGGAGGCCAAGGCAGGTGAATCACTTGAGGTCAGGAGTTCAAGATCAGCCTGGCCAACATGGAGAAAACTGTGTCTATTAGAAATACAAAAATTAGCTGGGCGTGGTGGTGGGCACCTGTAATCCCAGCTACTTGGGAAACTGAGGCAGGAGAATCGCTTGAACCCAGGAGACAGAGGTTAGCACAGAAGCCAGGGGAACGCTTCCCCTGGGGTGGGAAGGGAATGGTAAATGCAACAGTACTCATACTTTCCAGGTCTTGAGTTGGGCTGTAGATTCTTGAGTGTTTATTATGTTTCATAATTTACATACAATTGTTTGGATGCATTACTAAGATTTTTAAAATGGCTTGATTAAAATAATTTTTTGTTTTGAGACGGAGTTTCACTCTTGTTGCCCAAGGTAGAGTCCGATGGTGTGATCTTGGCTCACTACAACCTCCGCCTCCCGGGTTCAAGTGATTCTCCTGCTTCAGCCTCCCAAGTACCTGGGACTACAGGTACACAGTACCACACCTGGGTTTTTTTTGTATTTTTAGTAGAAATGGGGTTTCATCACGTTGGCCAGGCTGGTCTCGAACTCCTGACCTCAGGTGATCCACCTGCCTCGGCCTCCCAAAGTGCTGGGATTACAGGCGTGTGCCACCATGCCCAACCAAATAAATTTTAAAAATAGGATATTATGGAAATGAGGGGATGTGACATTTGAAGCTACGTTATAAAAGACATTGACACTCTGTCTTGCTCTTGGGTCACTTGTTTTGGGGGATGCCAGCTGCCATGTCATGACAAGACTTATGCAGCCCTAGAGAGTTCATTTCGCAAAGAACTGAGGCTCCTGCCAACAACATGAACTTGCCAAACTCAGACAGGTGGCAGAGTTGGTGTTTCTGCGGCACTGATGGCTGGTGCTGCATGATGGGGGCCAGGATCAATCCTGGAAGTGGAAATCTAGATTCCTTTTAGGCCTATTTCTGAGACTCAATGAGCTACTGCCTTCTGAATTTGTCAACTTCTCCAGCCCATCCCTGACCTTGTGTGCAGAAAGAAAGAACTTAGGTCATTTAAAACTTCCTATTTGGTTCTCAGCCACCTTCTCTTAAGACATCTCCCTACAATCTGCTTTTACAAACTGATGACAAGAAAAACTTTGACACCTTCAAAAATAATCATATGATTCTCAGAAGCCAGGGTCGTACCATGTTAGGAAGAGAAGGATTTTAAGTAGGGAAATGGCTGGAAGGTCCCACATGACAAAGAGGGCCTTAGACCCTGAAAAGTTCAGCCTTACTTGCAGACAGGGCCACTCAGCCAGTATTTTTGTCCTCTCAGGCCATTTCACCTCAACTCCAGGGGAAACACTCCTCTCATGGGATTCTGCTTTGATGCTGCCGTGGCATAATCCTTTCTCTAGAGCCACTGGTCCCCCAACTGTTTAGTCTGTATAAGTGGCTCTCATTGGGTTACTGGCAATGTCTGGAGGTATTTTAGGTTGTCACATTGAGTGGTGGTGGTAGTGCTACTGGCATCTAAAACTACAGATGCTGTCAAAGATCCCACGATCCACAGGACACACCGCACACCACCCACCTCCGCCACAATACAAGATTGTCGGGTCCAACACATTAATAGCACCACGGTTGAGAGACCCTACTCAAGAAGCTGGTCGAATGGCAGCCAATTCCCACCGCAAAGCCCCATCTTCCCAGAATGTGAGAAGTGAAGTAAGTTGCTAGTCTGCTGCAGGGTTGGGATGGGGCCACATGTCCCCAGGGGCCAAGGGCAGCTACAGACTCTATTATTAGCCCTGAGCGACCCTGGGAACACTTGACTTCTTGTGCCTGAGAAACTAGAGCACCAGTGATTTTTCTAAAGAAAGATCTGTGACATTTACAGGAATTTTCGTTTTCAAAACTGCTGATACATACTTAGAAGTGGGAGGGGTGGGAAGGGCCAACTGGAAAAAGTAAATGAACCTGCAAAGTCAAAGCCAGTCATGACTCTCCCTTTTGATAATAGAGAAAATAAGTTATTCTGCAGAAGTCTTTACCTAAATATGTGCCTTGAGCTGTTCTTTGAGAAAAAGGGGACAGATTTATGCCAAATTATCCTCACTCGCTTCAGGTATCAATCAAGTACATGGGGTAAGATACATGGATAGTACAGAGTGTGGTCTATAAACTTGGAAACTGAGGAAGGTTCTGGCAGGTCCTGCATGGACGACAAACTCATGGTTTTGGGTCTGCTAGCAAAATGCTGAACAAATAGCTTGTCAATCTGAATTGCGAAACAAAACATGCAAATTATCGTGATATTTTCACAAGCCAACACACTTGTGTCCAGCTTCCCTTCAGAGAGCCCAGTGGGCTCATTTTCACCTGTTCCTTTGAGCCTCACATGAATAAGACGCATGCCCCCACATAACTGATGACAATGCCTTGAGCCTGAAATAATCCATCTCAGTCTTTTCTTCAGGGAAAATCTGAGTCTCAAGGCAGAGGAGGCAAAATGGCTTTTCCAAGCTCCTGGAGGAGTCAACAGATCACTGTGCATCTGAACTGTCAGCTGTCCATCCAGCCAGGATCCCCTCCTGCCCAGCACAGGCCCTGTTCTCCTTACCTCACAGGCAAACAGCTTGAACTGAAGCCCCAGGATCTTATAGTCTATCAGCTGGTTCCCTCGAAGCTGAGTCAAGGCTTCTTTAAGGTCTTTGATAGCCAAATCGTACCTGCCGGACAGAGGGAGAAAATACAGCAGTGCATGGAAGAATAAATGCCGCATAAAATGTGAGTCTGCTTCTCCCTTCCCCATCTATTTCACTGGGACAAGAAGCCTTTCAGTTCCTTTTGACCTGTTCTAGTTTTTCAGCAATCCTGAGTGCAAGTATTCTATAGAACTCCTTGGAATGGTGCCCCCCACCCCTCAAGGGCTCTACCTCACAGCAACCCTGAGCGCCCCCAGTCTTGGACAATCACAGGGAGTTTCTTCTCTATCGACTGCACACAACTGTTACCATTCTGACAACCTGGCTTGTCGCTTTTCAAATGCCATATACGCTATTATCAGGGTATTTAAATAATACATGGTGTAGAAGGTAGAACCCTGATCTCAAGGAATTTTAGAGCTGAGCACAAGGGCTGGTTGGCCAAGAGAGTCGTAAGGAACGGGTGCCAGTGTGGCTGGACGAGAAGTTCCACTTGCCATCACCGTTAGGGTTGAGGTAAGTCCCAGGGCAGCAGCAGCATCAATGTGGGAAATAAGAGACCTTGGGTTTGAATTCGGAGGAGGGCTTTCTCCAGGATCCCTGTTGTTAATAAGGATGATTGTAAAACCTACTAAATGCATGCAGACCAATCCTTAAGTAGCAGCGGGCCTTGCAGGTTGCTTCCACACATCTTTCTGGGTTACAGAGAAGGGGAAGAGGTACCCAAAAGTACCCCAGAAATAAAGTTCTTCTTTTTAAGCTGGAAGGAGGGGTGACTACCTTCAATTCACTGAGCCTCTGAGCCTCTTCCACTGCGAAGGGGACACGCAGAAGCACAGGATTCCTGTTTTTCGGCAGCTGCAATTTCCACCGTGTTCCTTTGCCTGTTTGGGAGCTTGCTAAAGGTCTCAGAGGGCACACACTTTAAGTACCTTCAGCATTAACCTATCAACGTGCCTTCCTCCCTGCTGAGCTGGCTAAGCAGACGGATTTCAGATGGGAATTGACACCACCTGGGTCTACCAGGCATTACACGAGCCCAGCAAAATCCTCCTAATAATTCCCTAGCCCATCAGGATGTCTACAGAGGCCAGGTGCGGTGGCTCAAACCTGCAATCCCAGCACTTTGGGAGGCCGAGGCAAGTGGATCATTTGAGGTCAGGAGTTCAAGACCAGCCTGGCCAACATGGTGAAACCCCGTCTCTACTAAAAATATAAAAAAATTAGCTAGGCGTGGTGGTACGTGCCTATAGTCCCAGCTACTCAGGAGGTTGAGGCAGGAGAATCGCTTGAACCCAGGAGACAGAGGTTGAAGTGAGCCAAAATCCTAC